GTCTTGATTTTTTTTTTTTTTATGATAAAAATGTGAAACATTAAAGTAAGGCTGCATGTCTATAATACAATATATTCTAAATAAAAATGGAAAAAATTACCAAATTTTAATTTTAGATTAGCCTATTTTTTGAATAAAAATAAAATTGTTGTAACTACTGAGGGTTGGACTTGCAAGTAGCATAACTGCTTTAGCAGCCTTTAGTCTGTCCTAGCAGTGAAAAATGTTTTACTCTGCACTATTTTAAAAGGAACTGTACTTTTGAACTATTCTTGCACTGATGGATGATTGTTTTCTCAGGGCTTCATACAGCAAAGAGCCCCACCTTCGGTCACGCTCACCTGTTTTTTTGCGTGACGGACGCCAGCCCCAGGGCAGCCATGATGGAAGAGACCCTGGTAGAGAGCCCAGACAAGGAAGCCACTCTCGGGATCCTGCTTATTATCGGTCGGGGAGCAGAGATAAGGATCTAAGGAGTGCCCCTCGAGATCCTGCACTCAGGTAATTAACATTTGCATGAAGTTCTTAATCCCTTTGGTTACATTATTGTCTAAACGTCTTTTTCCTTATGGCAGAGCTGAGTACGACAGGTTCATTCGTGGTGGCAATGGTGGCGAGGACTGTTACAGGAGGAAGGATGAACGCTACAGGGATCCATATTTAGATCCCTGGAATGGACGTCGTGAGCCAGGTAGTATGCAGAGCACACACACTACACATTAATAGTTTAGACTAATTTGGTCTGTAGTGCTTCCTTGCTGTACTTTTTGCTTTCTCTAGTACTTTCAGTACAAAACTTACTTTTTTAATTTATCTAAAGTCGTAATATCTTTTAGTATAATTGTCATACATGTTTAGTTTTCTTTGAAAACTAAGAACATGTTTACAGCTTAAAACTACTAACTCCTGTTTGTATTTCATACTCATCTGAACTTTTTGTTTAAAAAAAGTGTAAATACAATATCTATAGTTCAAAGTCTTGAACACAAATCTGACAGTGATTGTTTTTACAGCTGAATTAAAGTTTTATAAATAAATGAAAACGATACTGACATAAGTTTAAAACAACCTCCACTCCTGGCATTCATTAGATGATCGAGCTCGACCAGAGGAGCGTCGTCGTGATGAACTTTATCGACAGTACTATGAAGAACTCCAGCGGCGTTACAACACTGAGCGTCCTGTTGACTGCTCTGTGATTGTTGTCAACAAGATGCAAAAGTAAGTTCACTTTCTGATCCTTACAGGGAGCACCAACCATGAATCACAAGCACTGCTGGTGATACTCAGCCATGGCACATTTAATTTCATAGTGCTCCTTTGTGTGTGTGTTTGTGTGTGTGTGCCTGTCTGTACCTTTGCTTCAAAAACAACTGTAGGGAGTATGCGGAGACAGTCGGGAGGAAAATCCGGGATTTGGGAATGGTGGTGGATCTGATTTTCCTCAACTCAGCAGTGTCTCTTACTCAGGCTCTTGAGGATGTCAGCAGAGCCCGTACTCCTTTTGCCATCATTATTACCCAGCAGCATCAGGAGCACCGCTCTTGCACTGTTAACATCCTGTTTGGCACACCTCAAGGTAGTCCAACACCACAACATACATCTGTTGGCTGAGTAATTCTAAACATAAGAAATACAATTTAAAGGCATTAACCTGCTTTTTATTTTCTTTTACGTGTAATTCTTGTCATAGAGCATCGCAACATGCCAATGCAAGACGCCATGCTGCTGGTATCCCATAACTATGACAACTACAAAGTTGAAAACCGTGAAAACCAACGGGAAGAAATTGCGAGAAAAGCTGCCAAGATGGCGGATGACGTGTTACTTCGAGAGCCAGACAGAGAGAGCCATCCCACTTCATTACTCACTTCCATCACACTGCTCTCTGAAAACAGGTTTGTCAGCTCAGACATATCTTGAAATAATGCATTCAATTAATTAAAATTTTGTCTTTTAGAGAATTAAAGTTTTACTATTTTATTCTGTCTTTAATGAAATAAAATCTTCACACTTGGAGTAATAAATTTTGACTGTGTTTGGATGCTGGTTAGGTTTTTAACTCCAGAGGAACTGGAGCGTCTCATTGCATACCTACAGGACAAAAGAGCTCGACTTGTTCGAGGCTCAGCAGATTCTGTTGCAGGTAACCATGTCAATAAAG